GAAAATATTTTTAAGTTGAGATTTTGCAACTAAAACTTTGTCACCTATTTTTAATTTGTTAATTTTAATATTTTTGTTATATTTTTCCTTTTGAGTGATTTGAGCTTCCTGTATATTATCGAGAGCTTCATATTGTTGTTTTAGGAGAATATCCTCAATTTCAAATATTTATTTGATTAGAGCTGTTTTAGTTTTACTATCATCATAATAAGTTTCAACTATTGTTTCAATAGAAAGTTTAGCTTTCCTTCCATATACTAGAGAGGATGGAGAGAATTTTGTAGTAGAGTGTTTTGTTGTCTGATAAGCTAGTAATACTGAGAGTAGGATTTCATCTCATTCCTTATATTTGTAGCTTACTATTTTTGCTAATGCTTCACCTATTGTTTGGTTAAAACATTTAACTATTCCATTAGTTTGAGAGCGGTAAGCAGATAATTTATGATGTTTAATTTGAAATTTTTGACATAAGTGTCGTATAACTTCACTCATAAAATTAGATCCTTGATCAGATTGTAAAATTGTAGATGTTCCATGCTAACAGATTATTTCTTCATAGATAAAGTTAGCAATAGTAGTGGCTTTAATATCACTTACTGCTTTAGCTTCAGGCCATTTAGTTAAGTAATCCATAGCAACTATAATATACCAGTTGCCTTGTTTAGTGATTGGTAAAGATCCTTTAATATCTATTCTAATCCATTACAATTAGTTTAATTCTATTTATGATAATAAACAAATGAATTTTTTCGTGTTATGAACATATGCAAAAAGTGTGTGTAAATATATAATCAGCACAATGTTGAATTACTCTGTCCATATTTATCGAATTGTTTTGACATAATCTAGATGTAATATGTCCAATTAAATTACTATTTTGATCAAATAATGTATCTTCAATTAGTTCAAATGGCAACATTTTATCAGTTTCCAAAAATAATAAATATTGATAGGGTTTCGTTTTTAATGAAATATTACAATAAATGCCACTTTGGTCAATTTAAGATAATCCTTAATAGCAATTTACTCGGAATGTATAATTTGTTCAATTAAAGACTCGTCGTCATTACGTTTCCAAATATTAATCGAAATCTTCATCGAAACCTTCATCAATTTCTTCACCGATAAAAGGAAATGGAAAATGAAATCTATTATATATACATACACAGTGTACATAACATTTATTTTGTAAGAATATATAGACTATTTCATTATATTTTAAATCTTAATAAATTTACACAAACCCTAAATGCCTCGAAAAATAATCAAAATCTATTGATATTGCAGCGGCTAGAATTACAGCACGTTCATCCAAAGTGATATTTTTATACTCGGGATTCATCTTAAGCATATATTGTCCATAATCTGTAAAAATCTAAGTCAATAGCATATACAGTATATTAACTTTAAATTTAGATATCGAATTTTTTTTTTATATATATTCGAACATAGAAACAAAATTTCAATATTACTTCTCTTGCGAACCCAGTAAAATTACGAGTTACATTTCCCAAAACATCACCGTCTTCATCTTCCATAATGAAATCCCATGACAAGAATCCAGCATCAATTAATGCAAATTGAGTTTGACTTACATGTATAAATTCAATTAGTTTATGTTATTATTTTGTTTACAAACATTCCGATATAATAAATTGATAAGCTTACTGTGTAAATAAATTATAACGTCGACGCCACAAATGCCATTGTTGATGAACTTCACCAATTAATTCTTCATCACCTGTACTAATGAATATTCGAGAATTGATCCACGCAAATGGCCTACGAACCTTCAATATCGTATTACCATCCAAATCCATAATTATGGCAGTAAATTTTCGATGTGTTCGAAAGAGTTGCCGCAATATTACTGAAGCCAGAGATTGTTCTTCTTCTGCTATATAACCTACACAATTACCACTTTGATCATGGATCGCATACTTATTTGCTTGTTCAAATCCCTTTAAAAGAAAGTCTTCAATAAGTAAATACAAATGAATATAGAGAACGTTGATTTTTTTTTTTTTATAACAAATCATTTACCAAAAAAACATTCAACATTTCTAACTGTCTAACTACAATCAATTCAGTGTTTTGTAATATATGAGATGCAGAATGTGATTGGCTTAAGACTTGTGGCCTCTTTTGTATATCATAAATCAAATCTTGTGCTGTTTGAGACCGAGAACGTTGAAATGATAAAACATTGAATTGTCCATTTAGTACATTTCGATAAATATTCGAGCTTTTGTTTGCATATCGAGATTTTACTTGAAATTTTTTTTGTATTATATGACTATTTCCGGACTTTTTGGCTAAGAGAAAAAAAAACCCCACACATTAGTTAACCTACATTTTTATTGAAAATTTATTTGAATATTAATAAATAAGAATATTTTTACCATTGATACTTTGTATTCGTGAAAAAATAGGATTTTTTGACGCAAGTAATCTTTCATGTAAAGCTAAAACACCGCGGTCAATTACTGAATTCATCGAATTCGTCAAATTTCGAGAAAGCTCACATGAACGAAGTAGCAAAGAAAATGTATTCATCGTATGTGTGTTAAAAAGGGATTTAAGCAAACCCATTTTGACAAAAAGCTTAGGACTAGTTCTTATATAACAATTGCTCAAAAAATTGTCAAGTAGTTTTGATTAAAACGATAACAGTTTAATCCCGAATTGAGTCAATATAGTTTTTTCCTGACTACTTAACTAAACATCGGGATATCTAGAACACTGCTATTATTATGTTACATGGAAATTTTTATAAAATATTTTGGTCTATGTTCAATAGCTATGGATATCAGCAAATATATAGTGAAATTCTTACATAACGCCTACATTACTACGTAGAACCTAAAAACTGAATTAAGTAACACAAGTCCTGTAAGGGAGTAGGCTCACGTCAGCTTAAGCTGACTCATTTTTTTTAGTAAGGTAGCGAAGAAGAATATTGCTAGCACCATTAAATATCCCTATCGAGTTCTATTTTACATTTAGGACAACAAAATACTTTAGATCCACCTAGCTTGCGGTAGATGTAACCACAGAATCCACAAGTTTTACTTGTATATTCTTCTGTACAAATAATTATTCGACACCATGGATGTTCACGTGCTTTATGGGCCAGATGTTGCTGAAAACGAAAATGTGACCACGTACACATGGCTCGATAGGGTGATCATCAAACTAATCAAATCAAACCGTAAGTAGGGTTATATATACTAATTACTAATTAGATATTTTTTATGAAGATCCGAATTTACTGCGGATAATAACAACTTTCGGTACAGTTTTCTTTTGAACTAACATAATAATTGCAAGTTTAATTTGTTGTAAATGATATTTTAACTGGTTTAGAATAGCGTAACAATGTTATTTTTTCGATTTATTTCATTTACAAGTAGCCAATTCTTAAACAAAGTAAAGAAACTTTACTCAAAATGTAATAACAATAAATTCATTAAAATTAAAAAAACAACATTGTCACTAAAAAGAGAGGAACGAGAGCTACAAAAATAAATAAAAAAAAAATTGATACAAAAATTTTATGTAGTTAACTTGAAAATCGTACCTTCATCAGTCATATTAAAAAAATATTACTTGTTCAATGAATAAAAAAAATAATTTATAAAAAGTGAAATGCAGAAATTATTATATTGTGCCTTTTTTGTAGCTTTCTTTTAGAGTTAGAGTTAAGATTTAAGGTTAGGGTTGTTAATAAAAGGGTATATGTGATTTATAAAAATTCTTACCAATCACATTTGTTAACCAGCTTATATACTTTGCATTCACTTAATAAACGATTTAGAGCTTTTTAAACTGAAAGTTCTCTTTATTTAGCAACTTACGTGTTGTTTATATATATATATAGATAATTTTACATACAGATAAATAAAAATAATTATATTTTTTTAAATCGTTCTTATTTTTTTGCTATTTGTTACTTTTTTATAACTAATAATGTAAATTGTTCGATTTTGTAGGTTGATATTAAGAAATCAGAATTGTACTACGTTGTACTATAGTATCTTTAAGGTAGACCTTTATGAAATTACTTATAAAGAAAGGTTGTGAGCCATTCCATAGAGAAACTCTATTAATGTACGATTTTTTCGATTATTAATAATAGTGTCTAGCCTTTTTTCTCTATCAATTACACCCTTTTTTGGTTTTAGGTGTTGTGCACCACAGAGAATAGCTTCGATTTGATGCTCAACTTGTTGTTGCTCCTTTTGGAATTCTCCAACAATGGTATAAACACCTACGTGGGGTCAACCAACCAAATTTTCCCAATGTCAGTGCCAAGCTTCGACAATATTTGATGTTCGGAGAATACCAATTTCTATAGAGTCATACACAGACCACATTTGTGGCAGAAAAAGAGGTGCTGCACGACTAATAGTACTATTATGCATTTGTCATCTTATTTGTTTCTGGAGACATTTTTTCTTTTAAAACATCAAATACCGTAGGAATTTCATTTGATGGTAAGAATGCTAAAGCAAATAGTTGATATAGTGTAATACTTAAATTCTTATCAGTGCCATATCGAGTTGAAAGCCCACACTCTTGTATCTTTCTCCAGCCACTTTGTCCTAAGTGAAAGAAGCACCTTTTGTTGTGAATGCTAGGAAACTCATCATGCGATATATTAATTGTAGCAAGTTCAAAATCTGTAAGAATTACTGTAGGGTTTAAGGAGATATTACTCTCTTCTGTGAATTCAATTAAGTCTTGAAATAACGCTCTATATAAATCTTCAGATTTTTTTGTCATTAGCATATATACTAACAGAAAAACTCTCAAGTTATCTGCTGTACCAATAGGAGCATGGATTGTATATAATTGGCAAAAAATAGCTGGGACAGTCTTAAAGGTACCATCCATTATCCAATATAACGCTCTAGATAAATATTGTATATTGGCTTTTGTGGTAAACAAGAGAATTCTATCTTCTCTGATTATAGAATCTCTTACTAAAAAATTTTCTTTACTTAATGTCAAACAAAGCAAATCAGATATGTCAACGTCATCGAGATTTTGAGGTTGCAGTGGCATGTCTGCTCACCTAATACATTTAATTCGTATATGTAAAGCATTTTGTGATGGCATGTAGGAATAGATTTCTCCTGGAATACTAACGATAGTATTTTGAATTACTTGAGCTAGTTGATCATTTGTTTCTTTAGCTTGTTCCTTTATAAGAGCAATATTTTTAGCTACTTCTACACTACTTACCTGTAGAGTATGACTATAACTACCAGTGAAGTTTTTAAGGTAGTGTAAATTATTTATATATTTTGTTACAGCTCGACCTTTACATTCGTGAGATTTTTTTTTCTCACAGTACCAGTAATACGTATCCTCACGATACTGTTCCTTTACAAACAAATAACTATGAACATTGATCTTATCCATTCTTTTCTGAGAAGGTACAATTTCGCAAATTTCATCCATTATTTAATGATAATTATATAATAGATATTTTATTAGAGATAATAATCGAATTTAAAGGTCAAATCTTGTTTTTTACAAAGAGAAAATTAGGATATTTTATACTTTACAAAAAGGTGTAAGCAATTTAGATTAAATTCATTTTAACATGAAAAAATATATCTTTTTCATATTCAATATATATATTTTGATTCGAATTGAACGATTTTGACACATTCGATTCGAATAATATAAAAATCAGTGAATCTATAATAAGATATTATTGATTCGTCATATATTAAAAAAAAATATCTCATGATCGAATAATCAAATTAAATGATTTTAGCATCATTCAATCTTTTCGATGAGAAGAATTGAATGTTAAACGATAGATCATATGAGTAAAGATTATGTAATCTATATTGATATTACATTTTTGGAACAATAATATATTAAAAATAAAAATCATCCTATTTTCGACCATTAAACATAGAGCCATTATTATTTTTATTAAAAATTTTTTTTTATTTTACATAATATATATTATTTACAAAATTCCATATTCTATGCTCTAATAATGAATCTGTCTATCAATTATAAAATAATTAATATACATATAAAACTTGATGTTACATTTGCAAAGTAAATCTTACAAAATAAAGAAAATTAGAAGAAAAAATAAAAATATGCTGTTTCAGATTCAAATCCTCATTTTTAGTGCTATTTCGTATTCCCAAGCAATGCACAAACCTACAAAAAAGGAAAAGTTAGTTGAAAGAACTAAAAAATGAAAAAAAAGACAAGTAAATTAACGTTACTTATCATTATGCAGCCAAGCCCAAAACACCATCCCTGATGAAATATGAACCTACAAAAGAAAAGAAAGTTAAAGAAAAATAAAAATGAAAGCTACTTATTGTTATAGTCACCAATTCTAGCAAAGCACAACACAAGAAATAAATGCAATAGCCAAGTCCAAATTACAAATTCTAGTGAAGCACAAACCTACAAAAGAAGGAAAAGTTAGTTAAAAGAATTGAAACCAGTGAAGCACAACACAAGAAATGAAACCACAGCCAAGCCCAAATCACCAATCCCAAGAGAAGCACAAATGCAAGAAATCATTCAGTCCAAATCAATCTTAGTAAAGCACAAACCTACAAAAGAAGAGAAGAAATTAAAAGCAGAAACAACAGCAAGAAAATGGAAGCTACTTACCATTACAGAAAAGCCAAATTACCAAGCCCAGTGAAGCACAACACAGGAAATGAAACTACAACTAAGTCTATCTCACAAATCCCGGAGAAGCACAAATGCGAGAAATTATACAGTCCAAACAATCCCAGCGAAACACAACCCTACAAAAGAAGAGAAGAAATTAAAAAGTGAAAAAAAAACTAGCAAGAAAATAGAAGCTATTTACTATTACAGCAAAGCCAAATCACTAAACCCAGTGAAACACAACACAGGAAATGAAACTACAACCAAGTCTACATCACAAATTCCAGAGAAGCACAAATGTGAGAAATTATACAGTTCAAACAATCCTGGTGAAGCACAACCCTACAAAAGAAGAGAAGGAATTAAAAAGTGAAAAAAAAACCAGCAAGAAAATGGAAGCTACTTACTATTACAGCAAAGCCAAATCACCAATCCCAGCGAAGCATAATACAGGAAATGAAGCTACAACCAAGTCTACATCACAAATCTTAGAAAAGCACAAACGTGAGAAATTATACAGTTCAAATCAATCCCAGCAAAGCACAACTCTACAAAAGAAGAGAAGGAATTAAAAAGTGAAAAAAAAACTAGCAAGAAATGAAAGCTACTTACTGTTACAGTAAAGCCAAATCACCAATCTCAGCGAAGCACAATACAAGAATGAAGCTATAACCAAGCCCAAATCACCAATTCCAGAGAAGTACAAATGCAAGAATTCATACAGTTCAAATCAATTCCGGCAAATCACAAACCTACAAAAGAAGAGAAGAAATTAAAAAGGCAAAAAATGAAAGCTACTTACCAATCCTGGCGAAGCACAACACAAGAAATGAAGCTACAAATACAAGAAAATATCAATCCAAATCAATCCCAGCGAAGTACAAATACAAGAAAACATCAATTCAAATCAATCTCGGCGAAGCACAAACCTACAAAAGGAGTGAAGGAATTTAAAAGCAAAAAAAAACAACAAGCTACTTATCGTTACAGCAGAGCCAAATCACTAATCTCAGTGAAGCACAACACAAGAAATGAAGCTATGGCTAAGTTCAAATTAATCCCAGACCTGAACCTACAAATGAAGTAAAAATATTAATAAAATATAAAAAAAAAACTATGAAGCTAAATAAAGTATAATATTATCTAACAGCTAACTATGTATAAAAAGTTATGTTGTTTACTGTAGTTAGAATAAAAAAATAATTGATACGTAAAAAATTTTAAAAAATTAAAAAAAAAATTAGATTATCAAATTGTGTACAGGGTTGTCATGTTGCGTAATGTTCAAAAAAAAATTGCATACCAATAATTTAATTCAGAACAAAGACGATAATTTTCTGTGTACTAAATTCTGCATTATTTAAATCGATCCTCTCAATGAGAGGATCAATATAAATAACAGAATTTAGTATGCCGAATTGAATATAGAATTATCATGTATCTGATTCGGAACTATCAGAAACATGTCAGGATTTTTAGTTGTCAAGATTTTCAATTGTCAGAATTTTTTTGTCAGGATTATGACCTGTCAGGATTCTGTTTGTCGGGATTTTGACCCAAACCCTCAGGACTACTTCCAAGCTCTCACTAATAATCTTAATACTCCTAATATCTAGACTCTTATTGTATATCTCCTTCTAAGTATCTGTTACTTTAAGAAACCTAAGTCTTATGATTAAGCCTAACAAGAAATATATACTGTTCTTATCCTAACAAACAGTTTTAATGACAATCTCTTTGATATTGTCTATAATATAAGTAAAACTGCTGATTCTCAAATAGCTGAATATTAAACTACACAATTAAATTCATCTGATGAGAAAGAAGATTTGGTTTAGAATTACTCTTTAATCAACTAGAACTATAACAATTACCCTCTAATCAATTGCAACAAGGATATATAGCTCAATCTAATCAACAAAACTATCAGAATCTCACTAATACTATAACTAGTATTGTTAATGGAGTACTTTAAGCTATAATAAAATATATAAACTATTTCAGTTTTAAACTGGAGTGGTTTATATGTTTTATTATAGCTTGGAGTACTCTATTAACAACCCTAGCTATTATCAATTGATAGCTACTCTGCCTAATACTACTAATGCTCTGACTAATAATACTAATACTATCAATAATCTCCTCTAGAAAAGAGGCTCAAATGATTAATTTATAATGGAAATCAGGACCCTATAACTTGGCTCACTAAATTTAACAAAGCCTATAATACTAATAGAATTACTGATACCAACAAGCTTCAAGTTGTATCTGCATATCTTAAAGAAGCTACTGCTACTTGGTAAACTGAAAACTAAGCTTTGGCCATCAATAACTCTAATAGAATCAGATAATAGGATAATAGTAATCCTGCTCACAATACTAACTTTATTATTAACTTCTCTGTTGCCTTTTGTTCTCAAACTCTAGTTAAAATTTGGACTACTAAACTTGAATATCATCAACAATGCTCTGGTGAATCTGTTGATAACTATGCTGCTACTCTCTTGGAATTGTATAAGGAGTAGAATATGAACTCTTCTAATTCCTTGCTCACTTCAAAGCTTGCAAATTTGTAAATAGATTCTTATCTGAATTATACGTTAATATTAAATTCTATAATAATACTATCTGAAATAATACTATCAACTATACTAAAAATTATAAACTAACATATCAAAACAATAATACTATAACCTCTTACCTCAATAAATATATGGTACCTACTCAACCTAATAACCCAATGGATCAACTTGTCTAAAGTCTACAAGTTTTAACCTAACAATTACAACAAATAAATACTAGACCTCAACATAATTCTAGGAACAATAATAATTATCAACAACTTCAAGCTAACTAACCTCAACTTTACTAATCTAGATCTCAACTTCAAAGGCCAAATAATTTTGTCTATTACTAATATAAATAATCTGAATATACTTATAGAACCTACTCTCAAGTTCAAAATATGAACTATTAAAATATTGTACCTCCTATTGCTAACTCTATAAACCTTGTGAATCTTATAAATTCTGTATTAAATAATCAGCAACCTGCTTAATCTGAACAAGCTCTACAAGTTAATTAGCTCTTGCAACTACTTATCTAACTTGTATCTAATAATCATATACAGCAATTTTAATCTCAACCTATAATTCAATCTCAGGCATAAGTACCATCTATTAATTAGCAATAGTAGCAAACCCAACCTCACTATCTAATATAGCAAACTCAGATACAACCTCAAATTTAACCACAGTAGCAAGCTCAACAATAACAATAATAGCAACAATATTTAAACTAGAAAGTATACCTCATGAGAGTAAGTATATAGCCTAATCTACAATTCTCTCTAACATAATGACTCTGGAAATATATTCTGCAAAAAAGTAATGGGTTGACTAAGGTGAAAGGACTGATGACTCAAACAAAAAAGAAACAAACAAGGATATTAAACAAAAAGAAAAAGCAGTAAAAAAAAAACTAGTAGCTATACCACCTATAAACCAAATAATTATACCTTATACCTCTCAACAATTCTTTGATTAATCTGCAAATATAACAAATAGACAATTATTTAAAATAAATCCTAGATTTAGTAAAGCTGTCACTGAAAAGCTTAGGAAGCCTATAACTAAAAAAGTATCTGCAACTGAAAGTACTGATAAAAAGGATACTAAGAACCTCTCTAATGATAAAAATAATAGAAAAATATCTAAATAGCTAATTGTCTCAACTTTCGATAATGGTAACCTTGAGTTTATAAAACATGATAATAGATAACCAAGTAGAAGTTTAATCAATACAAATTTAAACAAAGTAATAGAGAAAAAGTCTACTTCTTTGTATTGTGATACTACTATTAAATATATTAAATTTCCTCTTATTGTTGACTCTAGATCAGCTAGAAGTATAATGTCTCTAAACTTATTAAAAGATCTGAATATGGAAATAACTCAAGCCTCTAGGACAGTTATAATTAATATAAATAGTGAATATCATCAACCTCTAGGAGCAGTTTCTGATATCTTCTTGAAAATAGATAATCAAATAATCCTTTTTGATACTATAATTACTGAGTCTAATTCCTATAATATTATTATAAGAAATGACTAGCTAAGGAAAATAAAGACAAATATAAATTACAAGGATAATATCATGACTATCTACTAGAATAACAAAGTAATCACTATTAAAATTGAATCACAACAACTCCCTCACTATGAAGTTAGCATTGAAGTTTCTGAAATACAAAAGAATAAACTAATAGTAGAAGATAAAATAGTAGAATTAGATGATGAAGAAGAATATGAAGAGAACTATGATTTCAGTGAAAGCTTATTTTGCTATGCTGAAGAAGAAGCTATAAAAATTGAACAGGAAATCTATAAACAAGTCTATACTGAATTCAATATTGAGCTATACTATAACAAATCTGAACTAAAGTCTAAGGATGAATCAAAGAAGCTAAATAAGGAAAAGTATAACATAGGTGAATTAAGACTTTAGGATAAACAAATATTTTTAGAATTCATGAAAGAATATGATGATCTATTTGTTTAGGAACTCTATAAATTTAGAAGGACTAAAGCTATAACTCATACTATCTCCATGAATGCAACTCCTATTAAACAAAACTTCTACTATACCTCGTATAAAAATCAGCAATTCATTAAGAAGAAAATTCAAAAAATACTAAAACATAATCTAATTGTATCTAGCAAAAGTCTTTAGACTTTTCTAGTTGTAATAGTTGATAAAAAAAATGGAAAACAATGTTTCTGCATAGACTACTATAAATTGAATGCTCTAACTAAAAAGAATAACTATCCTTTTTCTTGAATTGATGACCTGTTGGAAGTCTTAACATATTCTAAAAAGTTTACTAATTTAGATATAACTAGTAGATATTAGCAAATACCTATAGAACCCCAGGATCAGGAAAAAACAACCTTCATAACTCAGTTTGGTACTTATGAATTTATAGTTATACCTTTTGAGTTATGTAATATACTAGCTATATTTCAAAGGTTGATTAATACAGTCTTAAGAGACTTGCTTTGGAACTTTGTAGTAGTTTACTTGGATGACATTAATATTGAATTAAAAACATTTGAACAATACTTGAAACACTTTAAACAAGTATTTGAATACCTCAAGGATGCCAGTTTAAAATTGAATTCTGAAAAATACCTTTTCTTTAAGCAAAAACTACTCTTTCTTGGTCATATAATTAGTAAAAAAAGTGTATTGAAACTGATCCCTCTAAAATATAGGCTATACAAAATTATTCTATTCCTCAAAATACTACTCAACTTCAAGAATTCTTAGGCCTTATATTCTACTACCGTAAATTTATAAAAAGCTTCTCTAAAATAGCTAAACTCTTGAATAGATTACTCAAAAAGAAAATAGATTATATCTAGACTACTGATTAACAAAATGCCTTTCAAAAATTAGAAGACTGTTTAACAACTTCACCCATACTCACTTACTCTAACTTTGAGGAACTATTCATGATCTATACTGATGCATTAACTATTGCCTTAAGAGCAATACTCTACAAAAGGATAAT